TAACACTTTTGGGTATATTTTGACAACTTTCTGTAGGAAATTATTTTTACTTGGTGAGAATTATCCTTGGAGGTAGATGGTTTCAAATTGTAAAATTGAGATTCCTACCCCGACCCCTGGGGCCAGGGCGGGGCCCCAAAGGGAAAATTAATCAATATTTCAAAAATCTTCTTCTCCAGACTCAGAGGTACTACAGTGATTTTCTCTACGTGGAAAGAAAGATCATCAGGGGCTTTACTTAAATTGTAAATTTCAGGACCCCCGAGCTATCCGTTCTCCCTTGGGGAGGGGGTAAAGTTTACTATAGTTTATATAGGGAAATAACACTTTTGGGTATATTTTGACAACTTTCTGTAGGAAATTATTTTTACTTGGTGAGAATTATCCTTGGAGGTAGATGGTTTCAAATTGTAAAATTGAGATTCCTACCCCGACCCCTGGGGCCAGGGCGGGGCCCCAAAGGGAAAATTAATCAATATTTCAAAAATCTTCTTCTCCAGACTCAGAGGTACTACAGTGATTTTCTTTACGTGGAAAGAAAGATCATCAGGGGCTTTATTTAAATTGAAAATATCAGGACCCCGAGCTATCCGTTCTCCCTTGGGGAGGGGTTAACGTTTAATATAGTTTATATAGGGAAATAACACTTTTCGGTATATATTTTATCCATTTTCAGCAGAAAATTGCTCAAACTTAGTCAGAATCATCTTGGGTAAATGAGAGTTTTACTTTGTAAAATTAGGATTCCTGCCCCATCCCCAGGGGCTAGGGCGGGGCCCCAAAGGGAACATTTACCAATATTTTCAAATTCTTATCCATTGACGACATGACAAGTATTGTATTTCACTTGGTTTACATTCTGATTTCCACATCACATCTAAACAATAAAATAAAGCTACCAGTATCTATGATATAACTCAGGTGACCACTAAGGCCCTTGGGCCTCTTGTATCATTATATCATGACAAGTGTGTGAAATTGTAAACTGACTTTGTGTACATAACACTAGCTGCATGGACTTGACCTGAACAAAAAGCATGTTTGTTTCCTGTTACATGTCTGAAATAATTAGGGTAGGTTCACACTCACAGGGGAGATCACCCTGTCAATTCTTTCATACAGGGGAGGCCACTCAAATAACTCGCTCAAGGAGATTACTCTTAAAACTAGGTCAATCAAATAACTGACTCACACGGGAGATCACTCCATCAAATGTTTCTCAAAAGGAAAGACATTCTGATAATTGACTCACAAAGAGGGGGACACTGAAATGAATAACGGAGGTAACTCAAATGAATTATATTCCCTAACCAGAAAAACTTGTCCAGTCAAGCTAAAATAGTGATTTGACAAGAGATAACTTGTCCGGCGTTACAAGGTGTCATTATCAACCTTTGTCTACTCTACCGGCCAATATCAATATGTAAAAGTAACATCTGAACCTTTATTTTACACCATAATAATATAGAGCTTTATATACAATGCCACTAAGGCAACAAATGATGTGTTTCTTGGTGGAGGAAAACCTACCATGACATCGGTGGGAAAAAGCAACCCCATCAGGATCACATGTCACTCACTCTCTCCACCATCACTGCAAATCAAACCCAAATTCATGAAAAAAGTCAGTGGCTGAATGCTCAAGTTCATATAGTAGAATTGACAGTGCCTAACAAGCAATCATGGCTACAAACCGGAACCCCCAAAACAGTCAATCTATGGCATTAAGTACTTAGCTAGAACTCCAGTTGGAATATAACCAAACATGGTTTATTAGTGTTCCATAGAATGGCTTGTCTGTCCAATTTTATTCAGAGTCAGTTTGAATTCAAAGAGTTGTAAAATTAATTCAGTATGATCACAGTATTGTCATCCTCAATACTCTCGCTCATTTCGCTCTCTTCACCCCTGGAATATGTCATAGTGAAATTGAAGGCTCAGTGTGCACTATCTTGTGGATGAGATGAGAGAGTTTGATCCTTTGATGTAAATGTACATGTACAATGTATATCAAAGGAATCTTGGGGTTAAGCTTAACAGTGAAAATTGAATGGCTTTGAAGCCCTAGTTGCTCCTCTGTAATCTTCAAAGGACAGGTATCGGCCTAGCGATTGGTCAGGTTTTTTCACTTGAGACCAATTAAATAGCTAGCTGTGTGCCTTCAATTTTGCTATGACATATTCCAGGGGTGCAGAGAGCGAAAGTGAGCGTAACCCCTGGATACCGAGGATGATTCCAGGGGTGCAGAGAGCGAAAGTGAGCGTAACCCCTGGATACCGAGGATGGGGGTGCAGAGAGCGAAAGTGAGCGTAAGCCCTAGATACCGAGGATGGGGGTGCAGAGAGTGAAAGTGAGCGTAACCCCTGGATACCGAGGATGGGGGTGTAGAGAGTGAAAGTGAGCGTAACCCCTGGATACCGAGGGTGCAGTATTGTTAGATAGATTGTGGATCCATTCTTTCATTGCTTTACCACAAGTTATATTGTTGGGAAGAAATTTTACTTTTTCTGTCGGTGTCACCGACATAAGTGATGGTTTAAATGCTTAAGAATTCAGTGTTCATATTCTTGAATTTTAAGCTTGTGGCATTCAATCCTCTTGAGGCTACTAGCCAGTTAACAATATTTATTATATACGGACAAGAAGTAATTGTGACAATATTTATTATATACAGACAAGAAGTAATTGTAACAATATTTATTATATACGGACAAGAAGTAATTGTAACAACATTTATTATGTACGGACAAGAAGTTATTGTAACAACATTTATCATATACGGACAAGAAGTAATTGTAACAATATTTATCTGATCGTCAAATTTTCAAGGCAATCCTTTCCTATAGCTATGTCAAGGCACTAACACACAATTACTTAACACAAAACACCAGACAAAGAACAATAATCCGATAGCAGATAAATTGATATACTGATGTACAAGTATGTCTGTTTGGCTGGCTGATAGCCAAACGCTGTTTATAATTAATAATAATCCTTCATAATATACCAAACTAAAATTTGCTGACAACATTTACTCCGTAGTTGGGTATCAATGATTTCAGACAATAGTGTTTTTTCACATGTACCATATTCAACAGCTTTAAAAAAAATATCCAGGTGAGCTATTAAGGCCCATGGGCATCTTGAAGCTACAGCTGAAAACTGTTTAATATTGTTGCTTGATTAGCTAACCATTATTTATGGCTTTATTTTATTTTTTTAAATGACCAGGTATTTGGATTGAAAAATTATGAAATTGAAATTTATATTAGACTCTCTTTCTACATGTAATATGCTAGTGCCCAGTTTTTGTATCAGGAAGTGTACATTTATTTTAAGTGATTGGAAAGAAGCCAATAGTTGAGGGCCGGTGTATCGAGAGTGCTCCTGTAATGTAGCACACACAGGAACACTGTTACACTACTGTTCTCTTTGTACAGCAGTACTCAGAAATAAGGGAAGGGCTGATAATAATATCTCTAGTGATCTCAGAGCATGATACAGATAGGATCTGTGTGTAACTTGTAATATATTAGTTAACTGATCAGTTGAATTCATTAGATCAGAAACTGTTATATACCTGTATATATATGAAGTGTACCTGCTGTTCATTGTAATGATAAAACTTCTAATCTGAGATATTTTTGTGTACATTCGTGAGGTCATCTGAGACAAAGGGTCATATGTGATGTATTGTGATCTGTTTTTGTTCAGTTGTCCTAAGTCCTCTAGATCTGCCTCTAAAAGAATAACTTTTTCATCTTCTTCTTGACCACTGATCTGATTTCAGGTTTTTAGCTCACCTGCCCGAAGGGCAAGTGAGCTTATGTTATGGTGCAGCATCCGTCGTCCGTCCGTCGTCAACTTTTTGCTTTAAACAACTTCTTCTCAATAACCAAAAGGCCTAGGAAGATGATATTTGGCCTGTAGCATGCTGGGATGAAGGGCTACCAAGTTTGTTCAAATGAATGACCTTGACCTACTTTCAAGGTCACTGGTGTCAGATGTCTTTAAAATCTTCAAACAACTTCTTCTCAATAACAAAATGGCCCAGGGTACTGATATTGGGCCTGTAGCATGCTGGGATGAAGGGCTACCAAGTTTGTTCAAATAAATGACCTTGACCCACTTTCAAGGTCACAGGGGTTGAAATATGTTAAAATCTTCAAACAACTTCTTCTCAATAACCAAAAGGCCCAGGGTACTGATATTGGGCCTGTAGCATGCTGGGATGAAGGACTATCAAGTTTGTTCAACTGAATTACCTTGATCCACTTTCAACCTAATGTCCTTGTTCAACAATCAAGGTCAGAGGTGTCATATGTTTAAATCTTTTAATAGGTTCTTATGAAATCTTAAGATTACAAATGTTAGATTAATAACAGGTGAGCGATGCAGGCCCATTGGGCCTCTTGTTTTAAGTATTGATGCTGGGATATTTATTTTTAGTTCTTTGGAGAGGGAATTTTTTTCCCTAGTTTATTAAGGAAAATAACACTTTGGTTTATACACTGTATTTATATACGTTCCAGTAGGAAGAATTCAAACATACATGGTTAAAATTTTGTCATGTGGTAACAGTTTGATAAAAAAAAAAAATCAAGGATAATAATCAAGCGTAGGGTATGATAACATTTTAACTGCCTTCTGACATTTACCAGCTACAATGTATATATTATATTATGGTATATATTCTATATGTATATACCATAATACATAGGATATAGGTGCTAGTCACTCCCCAACATAATACCAGTGAAGCAGCCATATTTGATTCATATATACCGGTATAATACTCTTTATGTATGCTATTTTGCTTTTTCAAGTCCCAACAAATATTAGTCATAGTTGTACATGAATTACAACTCCGGTGATGTTATGAGGCCCCTTAGCCTCTGTTTGATTTCCTACTTTCAGTTTCACTTTCTGATATCAGTGCTGATTGCATCATGTATTTCCAAGAAGCAGGAGACAGACTTTGATTTAGAGTATAGGCTGGATTTTCAAAAACTTGAGCTCTATAATTAGAAACTGTCATCATTGTTATCTATTATATTGGAATATATAAGATTGAATTAGTTTCTGTTCAGTAATATAATTGTAGTTTATTTCACAGTCAGTGCTTGACACTTTCAACACTTAATAACAGTACAGGACATGTATATATTATAACAGTGGTATGTTGTTGAGAAATGAGAATAGACATGGATCATCAGTAGGAAGGTCAGAGACAAATACTGTATTATGTATAATGTGTGATTTGTTCAGTCTATCAACACTGGAAACTCACCTGTTTCAGAGAGAAGATTTGGTCAGCGCTTTGATGGACTGATGTTTGACATCCTGATCCTCTGATACCAGAGAAGAGACCTGATTTGATGGTAAGTATATATATATATATATATATGTACACTAATATGAATGTTAAGTGAAAGTGTTCTGTGTTTTTTCTGTGTCTCGATAAAGGAGTGGATTGCATTGAACATTTTTACACCCTCATATTATCTACACTGTCGGAATTACTTCCTTGACCCATATACATATTATAACCAGATCATATTTTTGGTAATGAAGACTGATATGGTTATTGAAGACTGGGTTGTTGGTAATGAAGACTGATATGGGTATTGAAGTCTGGGTTGTTGGTAATGAAGACTGATATGGGTATTGAAGTCTGGGTTGTTGGTAATGAAGACTGATATGGGTATTGAAGTCTGGGTTGTTGGTAATGAAGACTGATATGGGTATTGAAGTCTGGGTTGTTGGTAATGAAGACTGATATGGGTATTGAAGTCTGGGTTGTTGGTAATGAAGACTGATATGGGTATTGAAGTCTGGGTTGTTGGTAATGAAGACTGATATGGGTATTGAAGTCTGGGTTGTTGGTAATGAAGACTGATATGGGTATTGAAGTCTGGGTTGTTGGTAATGAAGACTGATATGGTTATTGAAGTCTGGGTTGTTGTTTGTGAACATTTAAAGGATCAGCATTATATAGATTTTGACTGAACTTAATATGAAGGAATGTGATAAGGCCACACAAAAACTGTTGTTTGTTTCCGGCTACCCTGCCTACCCTAATTATTTTGTGCCTACTCTAAACTTGTTTAGTCAGTTTTGAAGGAAGCCCTTTTAAAGTTGAGATCACTTTCTTTCTCCTATATAAACCTTATTAAAAAAACAAGAAAAATCAAATGTATTAATTTACCTACACGTAGCAGGAAACAAACATGTTTTTTGGGCCTAATTCAAATCTATTCAAAATTAAAGACTATTACCCTATTTTCTAATTGACTAATGGTGTTTGGTGCCAAGTTCACAAGGTTGCTGCTGAAGACGTTAAGTTCATATTGATTCTTTTCACTGATGATTGAGGGTGGATTTAAAATATATATTTCTCCTACCTACTTAGTTTCAGAGATAGGTATAACATTGGAAAATGGGTTAATAAACAGTACAATTCAATAACATATTCAATTGCTAAATTTTAATTTCTTTTCATTTAAATTTAAGCATGAGCTCTCTCAACACAAATAGGACCAATTATGTTGCCTATTTCACCTTATTTTGTTGTACATTTGCAAATAAGTCAAAATTTTCCCTGATGTTTTGATGACAAAATACAGCCTTGAAATTAGATAAATGTTATAAGTGTACATCATTCCTTATAGCAAGGGTCGCTGCCCTCATCACTACACCAATTTTCCTGCTGGTCAAAACAGCCTTTTTTATTCATTGAAAATGAAACTTTGGGAATGATACATAAGAAGTGTTCTTAATATCCTATGGCCATTTGTTAATTTTCCAGATTTAAGATGGCCACCAAGGCCTCTGATTGGCCGATACAATAACGTTGATCACTTGAATTATGCAGGGCTGACTTTGTTGATTGATACTTTAAGGGAGTGATAATAGAGATATGCTTCATAGTGAAATGTCGGCTTTTAAATTTAGGATTCAAGATGGCTACTATGACCTCTGACTGATCGAGACATTTAAAATTTAATTGGTGGAATGGAGGGTAGGAGGATGCTTGTGGCTTACATTAACATCTGGTCTAATGGAGGGTAGTAGTAAGCTTGTGGCTTACATTAACATCTGGATTCAAAAAAAGGTTACAATTTTTGGAGGTTGTTTATATTCTCCCCTCTATGTAATTGTTTATGATTTGTCTATCCTGTTGTCATTATGATGGCCCCACAGTCCAAATTTTCATTTTACAAACTAACAACTTCACGATTGAATTCTTTTTCAGTGTGACCTTTTCCTGTAACTGTCACAATGTTAAACAAGGAAAAGTTTGTTGAGCGTCGACTCGCCATAAAGAGAAAGCTTTATAATCTCCTGCGGAGTGAAGCACCCCAGGGGGTCCTTAAGCATGAGGTATGGAATGTGTTGGCCAGGAGCAGTGGTCAGCAGGTGGCAGCCCACTTCTATGGCGTTTCTAAGATGCATGGTTTACTGGCGAAGTTTGAAGACATGGTGTGCGAGACAGAGCATGATGGCAAGAAATATCTGCAGTTGGTCAAAGGATATGCTCCCTCTGATGCCGAATCCTCTTCTGATGAGGACAGCAGTGACAGTGAGGTACAGATCGACCAGGTATCCTCATCAAGGCCGACTAACCAGATGTTGCAGCCAGGGAGGGTAGCAGGCAGTCATCCAGGTACATATATCCTATAGGTAAACTAGTGATGGGCAATCAGCCAGGGAGGGTAGCCGGCAGTCGTCCAGGTACATATATCCTATAGGTAAACTAGTGATGGGCAACCAGCCAGGGAGGGTATAGTAGCAGGCTGTCGTCCAGGTACATACATCCTATAGGTAAACTAGTGATGGGCAACCAGCCAGGGAGGGTATAGTAGCAGGCTGTCGTCCAGGTACATACAACCTATATGTAAACTAGAGATGGGCAACCAGCCAGGGAGGGTAGCAGGCAGTCGTCCAGGTACATACATCCTATAGGTAAACTAGTGATGGGCAA